TCAATTCTCGGTAATACTACTCTTCTTTCTATCTCTTCTTTATCTTTTTTGACTGGAGGGAGAACATAGCAAGAAAGTTGAGGAATGACATTGGTGAGAGTAGTTAACGAAGGTAGAGATGGAGAATTACAAACTTTAGAGACTTCAGGTGTTGATTTTACAGGGACAATACACTGAAGATTAACTTTACGAGTTGGAGGAATGAAATCAAGAGAATATCTAATATTATAAAGTCCAATTGTTGCACTTGCATAAATCACACGATCAAGGCGTTGAGAGTTTTCGATCAGAGACTGACATACCCATTGAGGTTGTCCAAAGGCTAATACTTGAAAGACGTTGACTCTTCTAGTTGTACAATTTTTTTTATGCCTTTTACACTCACCCCATCTTAAAACAAGAAAAGAACCTTGTGATGGAATGTTAGCAACAATTCCATTAGCACAAGTCATTTGAGCTAAAGTAGCACGAACAACAACAGTTCTTCTAACAAACTTATTTTCTTTCCACTGAATTTTTTGGTTAGCAAATATTTCCATTACAAGAAATAAAGTAATTAATAAATTAAGTTTGCAGTTTTGTTTAAATCTTAAAGGGTTTTTATCTACTTTCCAGGTGGAATTTTTTTTGATTTTTGGATTAGAGTTTGATTATTGAAAGGTTTTTTTCGTTTGTTTTTATTTTGCTGTTTTAGTTACTGAAATTAAAATTATAGCAGTAACCCTATATTTTTCAATTCTCTTCTTTTCAACAACCTTCGAAAAGACTCAATAAATATTTAAAATAATGTGAATTATTTTTAATATTTCTATTTTTAGTGATCGAATACAAAAAAATTCCCCTCATCGCTCATAATTTTCGAGTATATAACTCAGTGTATATTTTAGTTTGGTTTTTGGTTCATATATTTATAGTTCTTTGAGGTTTCTGGGTAACTTTCTAATGACGTATATTTTTGATTTCATTGAAGATAATTGATTTTTAATTTGAGAGTTTATTTCAAATCCACTGAATTACAGAAAAACTGTTAACTTTGATTTTATTTAATTCTGATGCAAATACATATGGTCCTTTTCCAGTAAAGTCAATAAAATGAACATGGAATTTATTGTTAATTGTCATAATTGATGTGTCAATATTATATGTACAAAATCCTAACACTTCATAACTATGACTAATTAGTCTACTTGAAGAGTATCTATAGCACCGAAAAAGTGAAGGTGTTTGTATTTTTTTACTTCTTAAACAGAAAATAGATAAATCAAAATCTCTATTCCATTTTTCTCCTGTTTCGATATGATGATTTACCCCAAAAACACCTTCATCTGTTTCAAAGATAATTGAAATATCTTTGTTTTGGAATGCATGTTGAATTGAAGATATCCCTTCATAATAAGAAATACCATCAAATATAACTTGAAAATATTGTTTTCCCATTAATTTAGATAAATCATCCATATATTCTGAAATTAATGTCATTTCTTTAATAGCTGTTGGTTGTATTACTGGTGATATATCAGTGAAATGAGTAACTGTAGTACCAATATCACAACAACTAAGAGTTATTTCATTCTTTTTTGAACGTTCATGATTTAATTTAATTTCTGAATGTGGATGAATTAAAAATGGTTCTGTGAATAAACTTTCAGGTTGTTTAGGGATTGTAGATAAATCACTAATATCACTTAATTGTTCTTTTGAAATTGTTTTTTTGTAATTAAACCTCTTTTCAGGGCTTTGAAGGTTTATACTTTTTGAAATTATTTTTGATCGAAAATCATGTTGTAGCTCATTTTTCTTTTGATTTGAATGAGTTTGTTTTGGTGCCTTTTCATCTTCTTGATGATTATCTGGTTTTTTTGATTGATTTCTAATTGGAATGGTTGACAATTCAAGTGTTTTATCTGATAATGGGATGTTAACATATCTAAGAATTGGAAGTGAGTCTTGAGTCTCAACGCCTTTGTTGTTTTCTGTTTCTCCTAGTTTACTTAGAGATGAGTGTGTCTCAAAATTTCCTGATTCTTTCGGGTATGAAGGGTCAACCAAGTTTAAGTTTACAACACCATAATTATTTATCGCTTCTATAGTGATTTGTTTGTGTTGTTCAGGTTTCATTACCACAATATCAATGATTAAATCTTTATAATGATTTCTTATAAGTTTTTTCTCTTTTCTTTTATTTTTTTAAAGATTAAAAAAGACTAAAAAGACTTGAAAAAATAGATTAAAATTTATTTTTTATCTCCTTCTTTTTTCTCTTGTTCCTTAGACAATTTCATAGCACATTTCTCAAGTGAGTTATACCAATCAAGGGTAGAAGATGAAGTTGCAGTATTAACTAACCAAGATGGAACATATCCATTAATATTAGATTGTGTGATAGTATCATAACTAGTATAATATTTTCCATCTGGATTCTTAAATTCTCTGAAAATAGTTGCACAAAATAATGTTGTAGCACGAGTAAATTCTTTACTATTAGCAGGATAGTCTGGGTGTTCTGCGGAAATATCAATAACAACACGAGCATCAACTTGATTTTCTTTCTTTTTATCAATTCCTTCTGGACCTCTGATTCTTCTGAAGTGAACAAAGTCTCTTCTTCCAACAACCAAACCAACAGTTTTGGTTGTAATGTGATGCATTGTGTAACCATCTCCAAAGTCTTCAATTTGTTTCATTCCATCAACTAATACTTCCCAAGAAACTCTATTTTCTGGAACTAATAATGCGTCAATAACACATTGCATTCTAGCAGGAATTAAAGCATTAATTTTCATTTTCTTAATTCCAGTTGCACGATCATCTTTGTACCATAACTTGGCATTATCTTTTGATTTGCAAGGGTTCCAATCACCTTTTTCAGCAAGTTCTTTAAAGAACTCTTGTTCTTCTTCATCAATTTTCTTCTTCATTGCTTCTAATTGTTCAGGACTAATTTTAGATGTAGCCATTATTGATTGATAAATGTATTTGATTTTAGAGTTTTGTTTCTGCCTTTTTCAATCAAAAGTTCTTCCTGCCTTTTCACTTCAATTTTACTTTTTTCTAATTTTTCAGTTATTTGAATGCTTTATAAAACATAATAATTCTTATGAAGCAAGACATATTTCAGAACAACTTATAAAATAAAAGAAAAACATTGTGAAACAACTTACAAAAAGGGGTTAATAATCTAAGCTTATAATGGCTTTGAAAATTAATTTATTGGTTATGGGTTGTAGAAATTCTTCAATTATTTTATCAAGAAACAGCGTTGTTTTACAATTCTTTGAAGAAGAAATATTAATAGAAGACTATCTTTTCTTAGAGTTAATAAAATTCTTTTAATACAATAACAAAGTCTGTAAATTTTATTGGACTTAAAAGGTACTAGTTTAGCCATTGAAATATTTTTAATATTTTCTTTTATTTTGCAATATTGGCATTGAAAAAAAGATATAAAGTTATTCTCATTTTTACAATAACTTTAATACAATAAGTTTAAATCTATTTTGAATGAATGTCTTCTTATTCTTTATATTTGTATTTATAAATTTACTATTATAAATTATTGTATCTAACTTTTAAAAGTTCACTTTCATATCATTAATTCATTAATTCTTTAAAAAAAAACACCAAAGTATCATTAAAGATGTTTTCATATATATATTTATTTATTAACTTATTAGTTATTTTTAAGGAAATTTTTTTTTCAATTTTCAGTTCATATATACTAATTGAAAATTGTATAAAGAATTGAATAACATACTTGTTGTTATTTGTTTATTTATTTTATTATATAGTTTAATATTTTTTGTTATTTCTAAACATCTTTACATATTATTTTATTATTGAATATTCATTTTGAATAAGTAGAATCTAATATGATTCTGATTTATTTAATTTTTATAAAAAATAACAATTAAGTTTATTCTATTTAATACCTCTTATTACCAAATTGGGTAATTTATATGACTCTTTTATAGAAAGAGTTAATTACCAAATGAGCATTTTTTAAATTATTGAAATTAATTTTTTGATATAAGAAACAGAGCATATTATAATAATCAAGCTTATTATTCTAAGACTTACTGTAATTAATTATCATATACTTTTCTTCTTCTACTTCTCACAAAAAGAATTAACAGAATTATTGTTTTAACTACATTTTATTAATAAACTCACGAAATATAAATGATATATTCACTTCATGAAAACTACTAAATATTATTAAAAAAGTTGAAATTATTTATAGAATAATTCCAAAACAAAAATCTTGAAAAATTAACTTTATTTAAATAAAAATACACTTCAGTTTATTAATGTAAGTAACAAATTTGATAATTCTTTTGATAACAATATAGTTTCAGTAAATATTATTTCTTAAATATCTTTGAAATGAAAGATAATAAGAATTAATTATCAAATTATTAAATAATTATAATAAAATATAATATTATATAGAATTTAATAGTGAAAGAATATAATTTAAAAATTTAAAATCAATTCAAGTCATAGAGAAGCATAAACTCTTGAAATGAAATTTTACCATCACCATCTTCATCTATAGAATCCATTAATGCGTCAATCTCTCCTTTTTTAAGATGAACTCCAGTTTTTTTTAAGAAAGCAGTCAACTCTTTTTTATTAACTTTTCCACTATTATTACTATCAACCAATCTGAAAGCAACAGTCCCAATAATAACATCAGTTTTTTTAGTTTCAGTTGGAAGTAAACTACAAATATTTTTAAATTCTCTTAATGTAATTTTGTCGTCTTTTGAATTAAATAGCCCCTTCCCATCAGCTAAAAGAAAGATATCATTAAATATTTCCCTATATGACTCTTTTTTATCATCAGTAATATGGTAAAACTCAATGAGCCCTTCGCAAAATTCATCAGGAGAAAGATATCCCGATTTGTCTTTATCAAGGAGATTAAAAATAAATTCTATTTGAGTATTGTTCATTAATTAAGCACTTTATATTTTTAAGTTCTTATTTTTTTAGTTCAACATAGACGTATTTAACAATTCAGTTTTTTAATTAAACTCATCATGAATTTAATGAAATAAAAACAACAAAATAGAAACATTCTTATAAATAATTTTATGAGATTTGTTAGATTAAGTCTTGTTTTATTCAATCTATATTTACTTTGTTAATAAAGAAGTGCCACAGTCTGAAAAAAATAAACCAATCTAATTTTCAAATAAAAAGAAGGGGTAATAATTAAATGTCTTAGAATTTTAAAGTCTTTTTTTATAAATAAATGTAATTACTTTAATTAACAATTTTAAATATTCCATGAACAATTTATATAAAAACACCATCTTATAAACACACCAATGTTTAATATAATTTCTATTTTTTTGTTATATTACCAAAGAATAGAATGAAAATGTTGGATAATATCTATTATTTGTTATAGTCATGACTCATTGGTTGGAACTGTTTTTTTAAAGGAATTTCTAAAAAAAAATCATTAAAAAATAAATAAAATAAAACTAAAAAAAAATAAAAGCATTTCTTGAGATGAAAGTCATTTTCTTAGTCTTGTTAGGAATTATTCAATACTCTTATTCTAATGAATGTACATGCACTGTCTCAACTACAAATATGTTTGTTAGTGAGTGTAAAAATAATGATGGAAAAATTGTTGTTAATAGTCCTGAGTGTATTTTTATTATAAATGAAGAAATAAATGGAAATATACTTTTAGAAAGTGTTAATAAACTAATTATCAATTCAAAAAACACTTTTGAAACACAAAATAATATTATTAAAGAGATTAAAGTTACTAGTGATGTTATTTTTAATAATGATGGAAAAATATCAGATAATCAACTTATTATTGAAAATCTTGATGCAACAAATGAAAATAAAATAACACTTGGGGTAAATACAATAATTAAATCAAGTAATGGAAACCCTAATATAATTATAACATCAGAAGCAAACATTAAATATAATGGAAATATAAATCAATTAGATATTGATGGAAATTTAGTTATGGGACAAGGAAGTATTAATGATATAAATGTTAGTGGAAGGTCAGAGGTATTGTTGCCAGAAAAAATTAAAATCAATTCTATTACTCTTGAAACAGCTAATTTTCATTTATTAGTTCCATCAACAGAAGACTTTCAAATTGGTAAATTTATTATTAAAATGAATAAAGGGCTTATCTCTAGTATTCCTTTGATTCATTCAGAAAAGATTATCACAGAAAAGTTTATTGATTCTCTTGTTGTTCAAGATGACACAGGAACTAAGTTAACAGGAAAACTTAAAATTGAATGTGCTCGATATGAAGTATTTTATGTTTCACAAGAAACAACAGACGTCGCTTGTCAACCAATAACATGTATATTTAAAGATAATCAATTTAATATTGAAAGATGTCCATTTGAAGAAAAACAAGATGGGGATTCTGTTATTCCAACAATACTTTTATTGAAATCTGCTTTATGGAAAGAAGAATGGAATTCAAAAAAATTAACTAGTTTAATAATTGATATTAATAATGATAATTCATTAGATTTTGGAAGAAATACCATTAAATGCAGTAATTTAATTATTAAATCAGGAAAGATTTCTATCCAAGACATTTCATTAGAAAATGTTATTGTAGAGTCACAGGCTTCACTTAAATTAACAAATACACATGTCCAAAGTTTAATGTCTGAAGACTCAACGCTTGAACTAAAGTCAGTTTATATTGAAGGATATTCAGAATTTAAAAATACAAAAATGTCTATTGAAAATTCATTATATTATGCTGGTTCAAATAAAAATCTATTTAAGAGCATTTTTAATGGAGTTGAATTAAGTTTGACGGATGGTCACATTTACACGAAAACACCAATTGAAATAATTGTTGAAGAATTAACGATTATTTCACAAAATTATCCAATCTTTATTGATGAAAGTCAAAGCAAATTCTTCTTTGATGATTTTGTTTCAGTGCTTGGTGTTGAAAATGATGCAATGGATTCATGTTTTCAGTTAGTAAGTAGTATGGGACAAAATTTGATTACTGTAAATGAAAATAGTAATGTGGTCATTGACTTAAATAAAGTTAGTGCATTCTTTTGTATAGAAAACGCACAGGAACCAACCTCTTATCTTAATTGTAAAATTCCAAAACAACCAAACGGAAAATATAATATGGGACTTTTAGTGAATTTACCAGACCATTGTAAAAGCGTCAATCCTTCAGCACTAAATTTTATATTTGAAGATGATATTATTGAATTAAATACTAATAACATTCAGTCTATTGGACAAGTTCATGCACGTTCATTGGTTATTGTTAGTTCTGAAGTTCAAAACGAAGGTGAACTTACAACAATCAATAAAGTTGAAGTTGAAAAATTAACTATTTCATCTCATACCAATATTTTAGAATTATCTTTAAGAACTTCTTCATTAGTTAGAGTAACTTCTTTATTATCTCTTGGTATATTAAATGTCGATGGAATTAAAAATGGTTTCTTTGCTATTACATCTACCGGTTCGTTGGAAATAATAGGAAATTTATTTTCTAATGCCAAAGTAATTATTGAGAATGGTGGTAGTTTTTATTCCTACAACCCTGAAGAATATCTTGAAATAAATAATTGTGAATTTGAAATTCATCCACAAGGTGTTTTTAAGACAAACTTATTCAGTAAAATCATTGACTCTAACATCTATTTGAATCTTATTAATGAACATGCTCTTACATTTACTAAAGTTATTTTTGATGGTGTTAATATTGAATTAAGAACAACAAATCTATTAGAATTCAATACACAAAGAAAGTCTCAACAATATGTTGCTTTTGCCAAAGATGGAATGGAATTAATTAATACTAATATTGAATTAGTTAGTGGAACGAAGAGAATAAATTTAAAAAGTTCGATTGAGTGTAATAAACAATGGTTATTTATTAATAGGAAGAATACAAAATGTTTGTCTGATGGATTAAATATTAGAGGAAGGGAAACATTTGCAATTCCTGAACATTGGAAAAAACAGAAGAAATCAATGAAATGGATTTATAGTATTATAGTCATTCCAGTTATCATTGCTATTGGATATATCCTTTATGTATTCATTCGACAATCAAACAACACACAACATTCCAATCTCATGGATGATTAATAATTGAATTTTTAATAAGTTCAAAAACAAAAAATATCTTGTTTTTTTAGACACTTCAATTATTCTAAAATTAAACAACCTACTGTATCATTTGATGTATCTAATGGGGGTTCAGCTATTGGTTGGTCATTAGAAATTATGTTCTCAATGCCATAGCGCTTAAAAAATGATTTATTTGTGATTGGATTTATTGGAATTGGGTCAATAGCATTCAAATGAATGAGAGAAGCTAATCTATTGTCTTGGGAAGAGCAAGAAGTGATTAAGTCAAGACTTGATTTCATCCCACTCATTTGATATGATGATGGTTCAAAGGGAATATGAGATAAAAGTGAATGATAATTAGCTAGCTCTATTACTAAAGAATAAATAGCAAATATTTCTTTAATACTTAATAACACCATTTGGTGTAATAACATATTCGATGTTTTTTTACTGAAGAAATCTAAAATAAAAGATTTATAAGAATGGAAAATATTAACAAGGTCTTCAAGAATAGCTGAGATAGAATAAGTATTTTGTTGTGAAGAGGGAAGAGTTATTCCATTTGGAAGAGTAAATTTTCCAGTAAAGAATGGATATTTTCTATGAAATGACAATGATTTTTGAAGGGGTAATAAATAATGAAAAACCCAATATGAATATTTTGATGTATCAAAGTCTGTGATATCTTTAATTTTCTTTATTGGACGTGTGTTTAAATCTGCAATTTGAGTAAAAATGTTAGAAGAACCTTCTCTTGATAGAATATGATAAAGAATTAACGTTTTTAAAATCTCAGTATAACAACCATACTGTAATTTATTTTTTATTCTTACTGATATTATACGAAGGTCTTTGTTAAAAGTGTGCTTTACAATATAATGGATATATTTTTGATTAGCTAAAGAAATGTCCATATTCATTGTTTCAGATAGGGCAATATTTAATTTAATATTAAAACTAAATTCCATTGAATAGTCATTGAACAGTTTACTCGTTTTAAATTAATAGTGAATATCTCTTTCTAACAAGTGAGTAGATTAATGATATGATGCTATCATCTCTTTCTAGACAATGAGATTGTTAAAACAAAATGTTTAATAATATATTTATTAGTTAAGAATAGTTTTGAGTAAAGATGTTAATAACAGAAAAAAATAATTACAAATAAGAGGATTTAATTAATTTGTTAATTTATTAGTTAATACTCACTCAAGTTGTTTTGTAGTGTTTAAATGAAAATGAAAGAGAGTTATTGCAATAAATAAAGGTGTTAATGAAAGTAAACCACCTCTTAGTAAATATGAAAAATAATATGTTTATTTAAGAGTTTGATAGTAAGAAAATCATACTATTTTTATATTACTTTAAACAAATAAATACTAAACTGTAAGTCTATAATTTAAATTGAAGATATTTTAGTCATACTGAATTAGGGGGCCACCAAGTGAAGACAATTCATTTTCATCATATTCTTTTAACATCTGACGTCCTTTATATGTTCTATATTTAATAATTCCAACAACAAGAGCAATTATGGCAATAATAATAATTAATACACCAAGAACACTTGGAACAACAATAGCAATAATTTTTGATGTTTCTTTTTCTGTTGGATATTCCTTTTTAATCTGGTCTTTTGGTAAACGATATATAGGGAAAATAGCATCATCTGGTCCTAAAGAGGCTAGTTGTTCAGCACTAAATTTACAGAATGTGTATGTATGTGTAAAATCAAACACCAAATTATTTTCATCAGAGTGTGTCAACAAACAATCGAGATACATTGGCTCCATGAAATAGTCATCAGTCTTACCATCAAAATGAGCCCGGGTTAAATTTCTAATCCTTAAGAAATCATTAATTTTGAAATATGAAGTATTAGTAAAATCAACACTTGAAAATTCACTAATTCCAATATAAACATCTCCTTTTGAATTATGTTTGAATGACTGGAACATTAATCCATCTCCAACAATATAACCAATAATAAAATTAGTATCTCTTCCACCTATAGAATCATTATAAAATATTGGCATTTCAAAACCTAAGTTATCTTTTGCTCTATCCCTTGTGTCATCCCACCAATTGGCTAGTGGTGATTGAACAGCTTTGATATCCATTGAACCATCAGAAACTCCAATAATAACAGTTGACCCACATGCATAACATCTATCAAATTCATAAATTGTTAAATCTTCTTTTGAACCCATAGGACTTAAAGTTAATGTTTGATAATCAGTAGACTTATCTCTATTTAATGTCTTAATAGTCAATGGATATACACCAGTAATAGCTAACTGATATGATTCTGAACCAGCAAATAAACAGTTAGTAACAAATGATGAAATTTCTCTATTAAAATATTTAAAAAACACTTGTGTCTCTTTTTTTACTGTTGGTAATACGCTCTTTAAATATGAGTTTGAATATATTGTGTCATACTCATCTCTAACACCTCGATACTCAACAGTTACTCCAGCGGAATTCTTGTCTTCTTCCGCAGTTACTCTTCTCAGCCGATAAGTTTTTGAAGTTGGTAAATCTCTTTCATGATATGAAAAGAAGTTAGATAATAATGATGCTTCATCACAACTATCAAATTTTGCATAAACATAATCAGTGCATCCAACAACTTGTTCTAAACATTCAAGTGCAGACGCATCTTTCGTTGTATCTACATTACCTAAATAACCTCCTACATTGGCAGTACATTGTTCTGGTGTCATATTCCAAACATCAATGAAACGGTTATAAGAATCACCTACAATCTCATATTTTGCATCTACACTTGACCCTTTATAAAGGGCACATCCCTGGTTATTAATACAACATTTACTTGCTAACTGAGGACACTCCTTCTTTGCCGCTTCTAAAGTCTTAAATACTTTTCCTTTTCCATATACATCACAGACGTAACCACTACAGTCATTATTGTCTGACTCAGACTCAAACACTTTACCATCATATGAATAACAATACGTTGGATGAGCACTATCGTAATGTAATACTGTACTTTTCTTTACGTCCATATATGAAACAATCGTTTCAATATAAGAATCAGGTATTGATGACATGGTTTGTGTTGATTCATCATAATAACTTTCACACACATCAGTGAAGAGATCCATTTGATTAAGAGTTGGAGTATAACAATGGTCACCAGTTAATGGTTTAAATCCGTCATATGTTTGGATATTAATGGGACATGTGTTATGTTTTAAATAATATGGCTCAGGGTTATAAATTAGTGAACGACATAACAATCGTTTGTTATTACCAGAATTCAATAAACTCCAAAATATACTTGGTAAAGTTTCAAAATGGAAATTATGAACAATTTGTGTAACCTCTTGCATACCATAACTTCTAACTTGTAACTGAATTTTTTCTCTGTTAGTTAATTTAACATCAGTATAAGTGGTATAGTTCCATTCACAAACTGATTCTTTTCCAATATAAATTGATGGACGTTCTTGAAAAGTATTACATTTTCCTGCTGCTTTTGGATTACAACATGGGTCAGCATCAAACCCTTCTTCTTCCTTATACTTCGGACAATACCTCCAATTCCCTGATACCTTTGTTGTATCTGACAAAAATGAATAATCAACAAATGGGAAACAGAAAAATCCTTTAAAAGTAAAAGTCTCTAATAATGACATTTCTTGTCCAAACCCCCAATTTGTAGATTCTAATATTGATTCCCATTGGTCCATTGAAGTTTCGTATGTCTGTTCTAATCCAGAACTAATAAAAGAATAACACTGAGAGATATCAAAGTCAACATAATAATTATTTGTAAATGTATAAACATTAGAATTTCCAATAGAACTGGTTGATTCTATTTGTACTGATTTAAAAGTACTTCCAAACAACGGCATTTTCAGAGCATATCCACTTATTGGGTATGACAAAAATGCAACAAAACTTTTAGTTGTTTCTTGTGTTGGCTCAACAAGGAATGAATATGAAGCAACATAATCAGGCAATGGAAAGAAATAATTTTCCCATCCAACATCTTTTAAACGTTCACCAGACTTTTCTGTATTAACGTGATAAGTAAATTCTTTAGTTTTTTCTTGTCCATCTTTGTCAATATAATTTAATTTTAATTTTGGTGCTTGACTTTTGTCACTATACTTAATTGGATACGCCTTATTAGATGAAATAACTAACATTTTTAATTTAGGATATAATGACAATGATGTACTAAATATACCTCCACGAATATAGACTTGTTCTGGATGTTTCTCTTGTTCTTCCTTGATTAAATTTATTTTTTTCACAGCCCATTCTGTTGCTTTTCTAATTTTTTCTTTACCACTTAATCCAGTAGGTTCAACCCAATCTTTAAGTCCAATACAGCAAATAATGAAAATAAATGATAAGACAATGTTTTTGCTCATCTCTTGAATGGATTTTTTTGGTATTTTTTGTTTTTTCTTCTTTTTAAGCAAACTTTGCTAATAACTTTATTAATAATTTTTTACTATTTTATTCATTACTTTTTCAATTTCAGGTTAGAGTTATTTCTTTTTTAATTGTTTGTTTTACATAACATTTAACTATTTATAATAAAAAATTAAATATGAAAAACAAGAAATTCATTTAAAGTAATTGATGAAAAAATGAAAGAAAATCTAAAAAGTATTTTTATGTTTGTTCTATCTTGATTTTAATTTTTTCAATGAAGGAAAAAAAAATTATTTTAGTTATACTCGGTTGCAATAACAGAAAGAACAAACAAAAAGCTAAGATAAAAAAA